TGCATGTCCTGAGGTATTGGCCCTGACTCTCAGGACTGAGTTAATGAGACTGTCATAATGCACACAGGGCTCACAGCCGCTGTAGCCCTCTTGGAACTGTTAGCTAAAGAAGCCTCAGCTGATTGTCCAATTGATCCTGGCAGTAACTTGGGCTCTGTGGGGAATGCAAGGAAGCTATTTATGGATCCATGTGGAGATAGACAGTGGTCCAGGCTGTGTTAAGAATCCTGAAATCTGCTAATCAGATTTCCTCTAATAAAGGAGGAATATGTGCATGCCTGGAGTTCTGGGCACATCCTTGGCCTAAACCGGGAGGAGTTGGGGGTGGGGTGGGCTTTTCCTCACTTGCTCTGTGACCTCGAGTCCAAGAGGAGCTTGCTGGTCATCCATTAGTTCTGTCCCCGAAGGCACTCTCACTCCAGGGGCAGACCAGTTCTGCTCCATGCCCTGATTCTGCCCCCACCTAGGCCCTGCAATGGTGTAAGCATGAGCCACCAACCTCATGTGGTCACTCCTGTAGACCCCATAACACCTTGAGAGTTTGGGGCTTGGAAACCCCCAGAAAGACCCACCAGCACTTGGCATCTAAGGAGGGGGCCCCAGCCAGTGTGGGCTCATGTCACCTGCCCACATTCTGGGCAGCTGGAGGTCTTCACTCATGAGTCACAGTCAGGCCCATCCTCAGCTTCCCTCTTCCATTTCCAGTGTTGCCTGTTGTGTCTTAGAACGTTTTCCTAAATCTCTTCCCTCTGGCACCCACAGCCTTAGCCACTAATCCCTGGGGACTTGTCTCAGCATTTTTTGGATTTAATCAGGGAGCCATGAAATAAGTATTGAGCACCACTGTGTACTGGGGCTAAGCTGCTCCTCCCACCATACCTTGGTCTTCTCGAAACCATACTGGCCTGGACCCCTACTGCCTATGCCTGGGGAAGAAGGGCACAGCTTCCCCCGCCCAGCCCTGCAGCAGCAGGGCCCCCAAAGGCAGGCTCTGTAGCTGAGTGAGTAGCACTCACAGTATCATATCCAGGAGCCACAATGCTTGTTAGTGGACCAAAGGCTTTGAGGAGTCCCTCAATTATCCCCTGTTTAACCTGGTGTTTCCCAAACTGATGACCACAAGATACACTTGTTTACAAGGAAAAGGAAAAGTCTGGGAAGTGCTGGATGAGCCTGGATGCCTGCCTTGGGAATGCTTTTCTCCGGAATCTGCCACTTCTGGGGGTCTAAGGTGGAGACACACCATCAACTGTGCAAATACTACCATCCTGGAGGAATCTGTTAGGAGGTGAGGAACATGTACTTCTGGCAATGGGGCCCTGAGTGGGGGCAGACTCTGCCCAGCTCCTGTCATTTAGGGATGGTTGGATGGGGAAGGTGAGGCATCTGTAAAATGGGTTTGGTGATTCTGCACCCTTTGCCTATCTTCAAAGATGCACCTATTACGTGACAAAGGATTAAGCATATCCTCTGGGTCAGGATGTTCTGAGAGCAGCAGACAGCTCCCCCAAGTAGAACCTGCCCTGGCCCGGGGGTGACAGATAGGACAATTGGCTGGCACCACCCAACGTGATGCAGAACTCACCATGGAACCGAGATTAACCACTCTGCCTCTAGGGGTAGACAGGGGGCTGCAGAACACCCCCCCCACACACACACACACTATGTGTAAAGCAAGGAGCTAACAAGTAAGCAGCAAGCAGAGTTATAGAGCCGTAATGTTCTTTATTAACCAGTAAGATACATCTGTTTTCACTAAAGCGGCAGCTGCAGCGCACGGACTGGCTGTAAAGCCGCGGCTGCCGACGCGGCAGGTGCAGGTCTGTCCGAGTTACTGGTGATCCCGGGCACGCGACCCTCTCTGGCTGGAAGTTTTCCCGTCTGTAAAACAAGAGGTTTGGAGCAACTCATCCCTGAGGTCTCCCCAGCACTCACACAAGCGGCTGCGTTTTCCAGAAAGGCTGTATGTAAATGGCAGTTCCATAAACCAAATAAAAGTGGCTCTGCGTAACGAAACGCGCAATCTGTCGGCGCAGCGCGTCCCAGCCCCCTCCCTCATCTGTCAGTGGGGACAGCCTGGACTTCCCCACGCAGGGCCGTGGGTCGGAGTCCAGTGCCCCCTGGTGGCGCCTGGCTGGACAGGCCGCTTCCGGAGCGCACGGAGGCCCGACGGCTGTGACTCAGGGGTGGTGCCGCTGCCAGGGCGGCGGGAGGCCTGACTGGGGTTCCGTCGTGGGCTGAGCCACCGCACAATTAATTACCAGCTGCTGGGAATCCTTTTCGCCTGCTAGCGGTGACTCACCCGGCAGCCAGGCTCACTTGCGAGCGCGGGGGCCTCGGTTTCCAAAACGAATTCTGGGGAGAGTGCCTGCTTAGGGAGTAGCTCCCAGGTTGGGTGTCCAAGGGTGCCCACAGACCCAGCAAAGACCTAACTGCCCAGACTTAGCGCCCAGCGAGGGTTCTCCTATCCCCGTGGGCACCCAAGAGCCTTCAAAGTAGGGTGGAGAACGTCCTAGACGGGGACCCTCCGTGAGGCATAGGGGTCCCAGACCTAATGAATCCTGAGTTCCCGCGGACACGGAGCCTCAGTATGGCCCCAGGGGGAGACCCAGAAGAGACAGAGATCTTGGAGCCAGGGAGATGCCTGGTGGTTGGGTCTACTTCTAATCGCTTTGGACAGCTCTGGACCGGACACCCACCACCTCCTTTCCCAAGGCTCCGTCCCTTCCTTTGCTGGGGCCCGGAGATGCTGTCCCGGGGTCTCCCTTGGTTGGGCCTGTCCTTTGGGGCGCTACTGCGGGGGGGATTTAGGAGAAAGTTGGTATCCTAAAGGGAGGCAGGGGTTGAGGGAGAGGGGGCAAAGGAAGCCGCAGTGGGAAGGAGGCAAGCCTGGACGCATGGAGTAGCTGCGCCCTGGTTCTGGCCTCGTGTTCCTTTCCCACGGCGTGGGGAAAGAAAGGGCGGTGTATCGCTCCTAGGTGCAAACTGCGCCCGGCCATGAGAAACCAAGAAGTGTTTTTCAGAAAAGCAACAGAGAGGGTACTGGGTAGGGAGGATGGGACGTCCTCCCCTGCGGTCCTGACTCAAAGAGCGGCGGCTCACGTTATTTCCAGCGCTCTCTGGGAAAAGTGCTCAGGTCAGCAGGTGCTGGGCCACCCCGGTGGCGCCATTCTTTGGGGCTGATGCGGCCAGGACCCTGCCACTCTAAGAGGCAGCGCCGCTGGGCAGTGACACGCTCCCGTGCCAGGTGTCTGGTCCAAGGAAGGGGGTTGTGGGGACAGTGTGCACCGCCGCCACGGCGCTCTCGGATACCCACGGCCCCTTCCTCTTCTCCCTTAAGCTGCCAATCTGCGATCTCTGGCTGAATCCTGTTTCCCTCCCCCAACCCCAGTCCCTCAAACTCTCAGCCTGCAGCGGCTGCGTGCGCTCCAGGGGAGTGGGGCTAGAAGGGCCCCAGCAGCTTAGTTTACCCCTCCATCCCCTGCCGAAACCCGCCTGTGGCTCCGCCCCACCCCCCACTCTGGCGACACCCAAACCCCGCTCGCCCCCGCCCCCTCCCGGGCGGCTCAGGCCGCCTCTGCCGGGCTCCCTTAGCGTGCGCCCTGCGTCGCGCTCCGTCTGCAGCAGGAGCTGCCACAATAGCCTCGCCAGCTGGCTGGGGACCAGGCGGGAGGTGGCGCGCCCGGAGGCTTAGAGAGAGAGGGAGGGAGGGAGAGAGGAAAGGAGGGAGGGAGGCCCGGCCCCCGCTCCCCAGACCCTCCCGCCCGAGCGGGGCTGCCGAGCGCACACACGCACACTCACACACATTCGGGCTCCCTCCAGCGCGCACGCACGTAGCACCCCAGGCAGACCAGCGCGGCGGCCGCCTCCTCGGACGCCCTGACGCCAGAGGGGCCCCGACCGCCGCGCTGCTTAGAACCCCGCGCCCGCCCGGCTGCTCCTCGAGGCCGGCGGGACCCTTCCCGCCGCCGCCGCCGCCGCCGCACCGCCAGCCGCCTCCGGAGGAACGGGCTGGCCCGAACGCTGCCGCTCTGTCCCCCGGCTCTTCCTCACTCCGAGGCCGCTCCATCGCCGTCCCTGCCGTCCCGGGGCCGCGCCCCGCTCCTGTGCCTCTGGGGTTGAACCGAGCAAACTTAGCCGACCGGCCGACGCCCGGCGGGGACCCCGCTGGGTCCTCGTGCGCCTCGGTGGGCGCAGGACTCTGAGACCTTCGGGCTTCGGGCTGCTCCGCCCGCAGCCGCACCTGCTCAGCCCCTTCCCTGCTTGCGGAGGACTCTAGAGACGCTGCTACTTAGCAAACTTTTTCTCCCTGTCACCAAGGGGGCTCGGGGAAGGGGAAGGAGGTCCCGCGGAGAGCGCGCGGACCTAAAACCTAAGGGCTTCTCGCGGGACACCACAGCCAGCAAGCTGGATCCCGCAGGACTCCGGCCCCAGGGGCCGACCTCTTTCCTCCCGCTGGTGCCTATTCCAGACCCGGCAGTTGCCGCGGAAGCGGGAGTCGGGGAGGAGACGGCAGCCGCAGCGGAGCCCGCGCAGTGCCCGGAGGGGCAACCCTCCGTGGCACCGGGTGCTGGGGAGGGCTGTCTCAGCCGGGTCTGGCGCAGGGTGTCCGGGTTCCCGGGCGCCTGGTCCCGGCGCTCAAGCAGCCTCCTGTGCCTGTCCCCTTTCTCAGCTGAGCATGGGGCCGCACCACCCGTGCCCAACGAGCCGCCTCTCGGTGAGGGTGACGGTGGCGGCCCCAGCGAAGGGGCCCCTGATATGTCTCCCGGTTCCCAGCTTTTCCGCTGCTGCTGCTGCTGCTGCCGCCGCCGCACACAACTTGAAAGCGGCGGCGGAGACGGCGATGGCGACGGGGACGGGGACGGGGACAGGGACGGGGACGGCGACGAAAACAGGGGAAGGGATGGCGACGAAGAAGCTGGTGGCGACCGTCCCGCGGAGCAGCCGCGGGCGAGGCGTCGCTGCCGGTTTATTAATATCCGTCTGCCGGTCGTGGGACATCTGACCCGTGCCGCCGCTCTGCTGGCGGCCATGAAGCGGCAGAATGTGCGGACTCTGTCCCTCATCATCTGCACCTTCACCTACCTGCTGGTGGGCGCCGCGGTCTTCGATGCCCTCGAGTCGGACCATGAGATGCGCGAGGAGGAGAAACTCAAGGCTGAGGAGACCCGGATCCGGGGCAAGTACAACATCAGCACCGAGGACTACCGGCAGCTCGAGCTGGTGATCCTGCAGTCCGAGCCGCACCGAGCCGGTGTCCAGTGGAAATTCGCCGGATCCTTCTACTTTGCCATCACGGTCATCACCACCATCGGTAAGGGCTGGGCGCGACGCCGCCGGCTCCCCGCGCCCCGGCAGGAGTCCGAGGAGGCGGCGAAGCGCGCGCCGGGCTGGGTGTGGGGCTTGGTGGGTTAAAGGCAGTTCTTGCTGGGAGCCTCCCGTAGATCCCTTTCCTCCTTAGGGAGCCCCTCGCCTCAACGATGGCTCTGAGCCTCACCCTTCGGGGATTCTACTGGGGCTCTCCACCGCGCGGCTGTCTAGGCTGGGCGCGCGAGCCCGGTGCGAGTGTGCAGGAGCCAGGAGGGCGGAGGCGCCACTTTTGGGAAGAGAGTGGAGCGCTAAGAATAATCCGGCAGCAGACACCCACCCACCCACCGCCCCAGCGCGGGCTGGGCTGCGATGGTTCTAAGCCTTACACTTACTACCTCACCGGGAGTTGGAGAGGGCACCCGTGGCCCCGAGAGGGACTCTGGTGGCAGTGGAGTGCTCCTGGGGCATGGGAGGCATTTGCTCTCCACGGCCTCTGGGCCCTTCTCTGGGCTTCTCTGAGCCCAGATTTCACCAATTTTCCCTCTTAGTTCCTTTTCCAGGAGTTTCAGAGTTTGAACTCGCCAGGCCCCTGGGAGGAGAGAGTTTGATCTCTGGAGCTTGGGCACGGGACAGAGTGTGTGTGTGTGTGGGGGGGAGGCATTGTGGTGAACTGCTCTAGAGTGGAGGTGAGGTCGTCGATGGGGGTAGGGCAGAACCTGTCCCCCCCATCCCGACTGCGACAGTGGGTAAAGCAAGCATGGCTATTGCCCAGAAACCAGGTGGAAGTTTATCCCCAGTCCCTAGAGAGGGTCCACTCGGTGCAACAGAGACACCCGTAGGAGCAACACCCAGGTGTGCAGTTCACAGAGCAGAGTCTCTGGTGAATTCCCAGGGTGTCAGTCCCACTAAGGCCGGGGTTGGGAGGACTCACAGACTTAACCCTATGAGACCCATGGGAACTAGAGCCAGTCCCTTCAGCCCAGGGGCTGTGGCAGGAGGCAGGGTGGTGTCTCTGTGGTTAGCACTTGTCCCAGGATGACACATCTGGGACCTGTCAGGGCCATTGTGTGGGCTCAGGGGTCCCTTCCTGCACCCCTCCTGTGCCCCAGCAGAGCGCTGTCCTCCCTGCCCTACCCCCATCCGGCCTCACTTGTAGCACCTCCTGCTCTGATTTCCCGTGGTGTTTTTCTTTGTCTGGAAAGCTCGGTATGCTGGAAAAACAGAACTTGCGGTGCCATATGCAACAGGAAGCACAGCACAGGATAGCCTGTCTTTCCTCCTTGGTTGAAAAGACTTTTTAGAGTGTCATCTTGTTCTAAATGTTTACTCCATTGGTGCAGGTTTCCATGCTTCGTGAAGGAAATTGTCCTTATGTTGTTGACGTAATCAGCTGTGCTCCTGCCTGCCCGCCCATGACCTTTGCCCAGTGCCACAAACACAGACCAGTCCTTCCTTCCCCAGGCTGTTTCCAAGAGCCTGAGCGGGCCGGTAGGTCATCGCTGTCGTCTCTGTCTTTAAACTGTGGTAGTGGCACTTACACACACAGGGCGGTGATTCCAGGGGCCAGGGGCCTGTTGGCTGGACAGCCAGAGAGTGAGAAATATGCCTCTTGCTTTGCTTGGGGCTAAATGACTACCCTGCGGAGGGAAAGAAGCTGGTCACCCCTATCCGTGCGGTCGTGGGTCTAGTGGAAGGCAGGTGGAGTTGGCCGGCACGCCGACTGGACTGCCCGTAGTGAAACAGGCACATAAAATGTTTGCTGGTCCCAGGAGTTGAACAACACTGAGGAGAGGACTAGAGTTAAAAGCAAATATTCAGTTTTCTTTAAGAAATACATCGAGACTGATGACGTTCTTATTGAAATTGTTTTCATGATAGAATCTGATTGATCGTTCTGGGCATGAGCTTCTAATGGTTAAAACTGCACAGAACAGATGATGGAAGGAAGGTGTATGTAACTACATGAAGGAGGGGACATTAGCCACAGGACAGTGGCGTTCACATCAGTGCCAGACCAGAGGGCATCTGAGGAATATGCTGATTTTCTCACTTCTTATGTTGGGTTTTCAACTGATTTTGTGGAAAGAAAGGTTGAGGGGGGTGTGTGTGTGTGTGTGTGTGTGTAAAGAGAATGTCCTTCACAGCTGCCCGGTGTGGACAGATGCTGCACGTGGAGCCCACAGACCTGGCTTGGCATCTGAATCCTTCCAAAGTGCAGGACCACGGGAGGTCGACGCCTGACCCCCTTCCTGAAAGGGAAGGGGCATTACACAATAACCACCTGACGGCTGATTTTGAAGTGCTGGGTGGGACCCCATACCCACAGTGTGCCCCGCACTTAGTGGGTGTGGAATCCTGGCTCTTAGATGTAGACGGGTTGAGCCTCATGCTCTCTGCCCTAAGAAGCTGTTTAGCAGAAGAGCTCAAATGATGTACAGGAAGCAAGGTACCTTCCCAGTTAATTCTGTTTTTTTTTTTAATATAAATGCAAATTAAGGTGCTCCTAGGCCTAGAACAAAAACCAGCCCCAATCCAGGTCCTCCAAGGAATCGCTTCCTACCGGACAGTGATATTAATGAGTCCGGTTCACTTCGTGGGAGTTTTTATTCTTAATCTAACCCTGCCCATTTTCTCCAGACTGCTTCTAATTTGTGCCCAGGTCTTAGAGGCTGGGTTGGGAGCTACTGGCACTGGGGGTCTGCTGATGAACAATTCTTCTCAGATGCAGTTATTAGCTCACTCTGTGAAATAGATTTTAAAAACATATATAATTACCACTTCACATTACATCTGTGGCTGCGCTTTTGTCAAAGGCTTTGGAAGGATATTACCTGAATCCCTCCTCAGCTCTCTGGGGTTCCCGGAGTGCAGTGGCTATGCTAATAACCAGGGAAGCACACGGTCCAGCTTGGCTATGAAAAGGGCAAATTTGGTTACATCACTGATGCCCGTTCCAGCTTCAATTCTTCCCCAGAGGCTTCCTTTGATGTCTGTGCCACTTGTAGCTACTTCCAAGGAGATTATAGTGCTCAGTTCTACACTTGCAAAACCCAGACGGTTGGGTGGAAAGCTCCCGTGTGGACCCTGCCCTGCTGCTCTGATCAGCAGGACAGTCGGAGTGTCCTCCCCTGCAACCTGTTGGTAAAAGAGGTAGAAGCTTGGCGAGCGGCGCCAACCTCTAGACAGGGGTGTAGATGCTTTATTTGAATTTGCTTTGCTTGGGGCTAAAGCCTTGGCGTGTGAGGGACCCTTGGTGCAGACCTGTAACCTTCCTGAAGTGGGTGCTTAGGCCAAAATTGTGTCCCACAATCGTTGCTACCCAGGATCTAAGGAACAGAGCTGGAATTTCCATGACACTTCTTTTTTCAATCTAACATCTGCAATCTCTTACCACCTCCAGGATCATTAACAAAGAAGAAACCGTGCTTAGAAATCAGATCTCATCCGCAGAGGGGTGAAGGACAACTGAAAGCTGGATTGCCGTAGGGAAGGAGGGTAGGAGATATGGGTTTTTCCTTTTTTGCTGCAGTTTGGAGAAGGAGGACGCACATCAGGAGCAGTGTTACCCCAGGCCCTTGGGGACCATCTGAAGCCAGGGGTGGCTGTTGCAGGAATTGTGATGACGGACATAGATGCCAAGGTCTGCTGCCAGGGGACAGGGCACATCTGAGCAAAAGCTCTGGGCTCCTGTAGTTTCCTCCCTCCAGGTCCTGTACCTGGTTGAAAACAGCATGCATTGGGAGGGCTTCCTTTTCTCATTCATAAACAGAGCCTTAAGCAGAGTTTCCAGGAAATGGAGGGTGTCTGCCATTTTTTTTCTGATGCTCTTGAGTGTACTTGTGATACACGGTTCACACTCTTTGTTGAGCAACTGGTCCTGCCTGGCCTGTGCTACCTCTGAGACCCTGGGGTCAAGGCTTCTAGATGATAAGTCTGACCTTGAGGTGGAAGGAGGAGGGAGCTGGAAACCCAAACAGCTGGTGGCAGTCCTGAGTGAAGCGTGGACAGTTAAGCTAGGGTCTGCCTTAACCCTCCTGGGAGGGAGGGCACACATCCTGGCTGGATCTCTGAAATTTTCTTATAGGTCCTTGTCCTCCAAGGCTTCCCAGCCTTTCCTCACGTTGCTTCTCTGGCTGTGGCCTCGCACTCCCTGCCCTCCACTAAGCCTATACCTGAGCTGCATCTTTCCTCCCTGCGCCTGCAGGGCCCAGCACAGTGCCTGGTCAGAGTGGGCATCTCCTAAAGGACTGCAGGATGGAAGCCAGGGCCAGAGGGCACACGAGCTTCCACACACATGCACTCCATTTCTCTGCTGGGCTGGCAGGAGACATTGCTCCACTTTACAGATGAGGAAACTGAGGCAGATAAGGCCATGCACACCGAGGTAGAGGCCCTAGAACTCTGTAATGCAGTTGAGATCTGCTCATTACAGGGTCTCTTAGTGGAGCTGTCCCCATGGCCAGGGCTGAGCCCCTGGGTTGTTCCTTCTGTGTCTTTTTGCTTCTCTCTTTAGCTCCCCTAGTTAGGACATGTGCTTATCCAGACCCAGGTGAAGGGCCCACTCTGAGCCCTTCTGAGACTGAGAGGAGCAGCAGTTCCTTGGTAATATCCAATGGGCTAGCTGACCACACAGGGGAGGCTTGAGATGCCTGTGGGCAGCTCCTCTTTCCCAGACCCTTCCTGGACTTGGGCTCACTCAATAGCCCTGGGCCCTCCAGGAAACACAGCCTATTTATAGATGTCTTGAAGGAGGCAAAGTGGGTAAAGGTCAGGTTCCTTCTGACTCTGGGAACATATGGGATACATGAGGGACACAGATGCATGGAGACACCCAGCTAGATGCTCTGAGGCAGGGTTGGAGATTAGGTGAGGGAAGGCTGAGGATTCTGAGTGCCTTCACCTGTCTTTCCTGGGTCATTTTCACCACCTAAGTCTAGTGAGGTCAGAGAAGGAACAGGAGGGGAACCAGGCCTTGGTATACACCTTCTCCATATACCCTTCACT